CTCAAGGACGTCCGTGCCAAGAGCACACTCACCCCCGACGGACGGAGGACAGACAGACTCAGACTCAGCAACAAGACTAGCGACGTAGTCTAGACGACAGGCGGCACAAAGTCAACAAGCTCAGCAACTAAAGCAGACGCAGCAGTGGACTCAAACGAAGGGTCAGTGACAACAGTGGCGAGGAAACGCGTGACAGTAGGACTAGCAGCACGAAGGGAGTCAGACTCCGGGTCCGGACCGTCAGGAAGAGAGGACGTAGGAGGAGACGGCAGAGGGACACGCTGTGGAGCAGTGGAAGGATGCAGAGTCATATAGTGAGTGCTAGGGACAGGAGGAGGACGCTGACGCGGGACACGACCAGTGCGGACAGCACGAACATGCGACTCAGGCCGAGACTCAGGCGACGCAGGACGAGACTCAGGCGCACGACGCTCCGTAAGACCTCTAGTCGGTCCAGAGTAAGGAGAAGGACCAGGCAGGGAAGAGGCTGGCAGTAACTGCGACTGCGACTGGACAGGCGGTGGACTCAGTATGGGAGGAGGAGGAGGACCAGTAGAAAGCGGTAGGCTAAGAACCTGCTTAAGGAGCGGAACGTAGTACGGCCGCGGCCGAGCAGCACCTCCTGAACCAGCAGAGACAGCACCAGCACCCTCAGCCCCAGGGTCTCCAGCTACAACTCCCGCAGCACCACCAGCAACCCCAGTAGCTCTAGTACCTCCAGCTCCAACCCCCGCAGCAGCTCCAGTCCCAGCAGCTCCAGTACCTCCAGTACGAGCACCTCTAGAACCAGCGGCTCCAGCAGCTCCAGCACCAGCAGTACCTCCAGTAGCTCCAGCACCAGCAGCACCTCCAGCAGCGCCAGCACCAGCAGCACCTCCAGCAGCTCCAGCACCAGTAGCACCTCCAGCAGCACCAGCAGCACCTCCAGCAGCTCCAGCACCAGCAGCGCCTCCAGCAGCTCCAGCACCAGCAGCACCTCCAGCAGCACCACCAGCAGCTCCTGCACCAGCAGCACCAGCACCAGCTCCAGCTCTAGGGTCCGCAGCACCAGCAGCAGCTCCAACTCCAGGGTCCGCGGCACCAGCAGCAGCTCCAGCTCCAGGGTCCAAAGCACCAGCAGCGCCACTCCGGAGACTGCAGCGCCGAGTGTACCACTCTCGGAGTCGCTGGGGAGAGGGCGGCTCCCGCCGAGGCGGGGAACCACGAGCACCAGCTCCAGCAGCACCCCTAGCCCCAGAAGCGCCCCTCCTGAGGCTGCAGTACCGCAAGTACCACTCCCGCAGCTGCTGTGAAGAGGGAGCGCCTCCAGGCGCAGCACGGTCAGTCGCAGCACCCCCAGGCTCAGTACCCTCAGACGTAGCACTCTCAGGCTCAGCACCCCCAGGCTCAGCACCCCCAGACTCCGTACCCGCAGGCTCAGCACCCCCAGGCTCCGCACGCTCAGGCTCAGTACCCCCAGGCTCCGCACCCCCAGGCTCCGCACCCCCAGGCTCCGCACGCTCAGGCTCAGCACCCCTAGCAGGACGAGAGTCGACAGCTACCTCGACAGGCTCAACCGGGTCTACCTAGGACACACCTGAGGGAGCGGCACCTTGAGGGGGAAGGGGGTCTACCACAGCAGCACCTGGTGCGAGGAAGAGAGGCGGGGGGGGGGGAGCGGGGCAGTGCGGTAGGGGAAGAGGCGGTAATAGGGGACCGACTCGTCGAAAGTGACATCCTGAGAGGGCAGGACACGACGCGAGGTGGCATGGTAAAACTGCCAACCAGACGCGTCCGGGACAAAGCCAAGGAAGACACAAGGAACAGCGCGGGAGGAGAGCTTGTCCGCGGACGTATCGCAGACAAAAGCACGAGATCCCCAGACCCGGAACACCGACGCATCGCCAACCTCTCCCGTCCAACGCAGTGTCGGCGAAGTCTCCGGAACGGAGACACGGGGCCAGAGGTTGAGCTGATGCGCAGCGTATCGGACCGCAAACGGCCACAGAAAGTGGGGGGCAGCCGCATGGATCAAGGAGGTACGAGCGACCTCCATGACCAAGCCAATCCGGCGCTCAGCAACCCCATTCTGCTGTGGAGAGGCCGGAAGCGTGAACGACTGCTCAATGCCCTCCCCACGACAAAAGTCCCTCAAGAGGTCGGAGGAAAACTCCCCACCTCTGTCAGAGTGCAGACGCAGGACAGGAAAGTCCGAGTGGAACCTCTCGCTGAGCTGGAGACGGGCAGTGCGGATCTAAGGGATCAAAACATCAGGGACTTCACCCTTGGTGCGCAAGGGGAAGACCGTGGTGTAGCGCGAGTAGTCGTCAACAACTATCAAGAAGTACCTCTCGTGACCCTGTCCACGGACGCGGGCTGGGCCCCACACGTCCATGTGGAGGGTCTGCAGGGGAGCAGTCGTCGGGGGAAACGAGGAGGAGTGAGGAGCGGCGCGCTGCCGCCCCTCGACACAGGGAAGACAGGGAGGAGCAGGCGAGGGTGGGAGGGGAGGGAGAACCCTGGGAAGACCAGAGA